TCACAAACTACATTGAATTATTATTTATAATTTATTACTTTGGAGGAAACCTCGACATTTTAGAGGAACTTATTGATAGAGACTGTAAGTTCCTACTAAACGTCCGAGGTTTCTTCTAAAATAATACATGGTAAGCCACAGAAGACTCAGGAGTGAACTTCTGACGCTTTGGCATTGAAGCGTTGAAGAGTCACTTGTTTATCGTTGTATTGTCCCTTTCAAAATTGCATTTCCGGAAACTGCATAGTCACCATGGGAACGAGAATTTTCGATAAAGATTGTAAGTATCGGAATTAGAGAAGTCGATCTTCAGAATGTATAGAATCAACACTGTCGGCTGTTACTCTCGGTGGGTTCATGACACGATTTGAACTTTTCACAAAGAAGCAACATGATGGTAAGAGGACAGGTTGCTGGACTCGTGAAGAGTGACATCACATGAGTAATGTTTCTGAGATTTGAGTTTCACGGCTGTGAAGTCGATTGTGTTCTTTTGGGTTGTGACGCCGTGTAATCTTGTACGTGGTTAACGACGTTTCAAGATCGTGTCACAATCCAGAAGACAGCAACCGACACGATCTTCCTGATTTATATTACTTCTGTTTGATTCAGATTTAGAAACGGGCGTTCGCAATACATTCGATCCAACATATCATAATTCATACGCTTTCAGTTAAGAAGTTAAAAAAAGACTTTCATCTTACGTACGTAAGGAGCAATAGCAGAGAACTGTGAGTTCATATGTACGTAATTTAAGTTCCGTTATGCATTCAGGTATAAAATGTCTTAATGTTACTTAATGTACTGCAGGTGTTGGATGCTCGGTAAAAGAAACGACAAACAAACTTCAACCGCATACACCATTACACCATTATTTAAACTGTGCTGGTCATCACCTGAGTCCCAGCTTTGCCAACCGTTCGGTGAAACACGTTTTGGGACTGTGTGTTGAAATGATCACTACCGTTATCCGAGGTCAGCTCCTAACAAGTGCATCAGTGAGTTCCCAAGCAACCAGTATGTAAACACAATCCAAGACCAGGGTTCGTATTAGTCCCTACAGTCCGAGTTTCATAACAGTAACAGACAATATTTTTGTTTAAATTTTTGTACAAAAATTTGTACAATTGTTTGCTGTTCTATAGGCAACATCTAAAGAGAACCCAGTTTCCAGTGTTGAATTTAAAACACAGCGTTAATTACAGAACCTCTGCACGCACAAAACGAAGGAACCAATGATACTATTGGATTCTTGCATCCGATGCACTGCTTGAAATCGGTCGGCTGTAATTAACGCTGTTTTGTCGCTTGATGAGCATTTGTCATATACAAACACTTCCTTTTCCCCGAAACGTTGCTACCAATCCGTGTATTGTTGTTATATTCGGTATTTCCTTGTCGGGATATGCATTCATAAATTTTGAACGAACAGGAGCAAGCGTTCGATGCGAAGTAATGTTCGAGCACGAACGCACGTTCTACTCATGTTCGCACCTACACAGCGTTTGCGCAACTGGCGCGGGCAGGGGCCTAGCAACAAGAGCAACTTTGACTCGAGTGTCACATTTCAAAGTCATCTGCAATTTTAACGTCTTTTCAAGCTTAATTACCGCTGTTTCTGCTTCCTTCTTGAAACTTTTTTACATCTTTTTTCGTATCAACTTCTTTCCCAGCTTTACTCACATCATTAATCATTTCAGCTACTTTATTTGTGTCATTAAGATGTGTCATTTTTTCATTCATGTCATCAGATTCTTCTGTTGTTTTTCTTGCCCACTCTCAGAAAATTTTAACATCTTCCCTTCCGGGTCATAAGTGAGTAGTTTTTCACCTTCTAGCATGGAATATCTGACATTGTATAATTTCCTTTGTTGCCTATAACAAGCAGTGTTGTCATAAGTTTTTAAAGATAATGACACAACGTATTAACAACGAATGGACATGATGCGATTTAATGACTATACAGACACTATGACAGTCAATTTTTTCTTCTTTGAAATAATGGATTCGCTCCTGATTATGGCATAGGCGTCCTTTCGGCATTGTGACAAAGTTAATATTCAATTCAATTCAATTCAATTCATTTATTTGAGTGCTTGGCAACAGCCAAAAAGGCCAATAACAGCCGAGCACTAACAATACAAAAAAATAATAAAAGTAAACATAGCAATACAAAAACAAATAATGAACTAAATATATAAATGTAGAATATAATAATGATAATAAATCAATTCATTAATTTATTGCAAAATAATGAACAGTAAATGAGCTAAATAATATGCCTAAAAGTGAAACATTAAAATAAAAAACAAACAAACAAATGAACTAATTATATAAATGTACAATATTCAATTCAATTCATTTATTTACGTGTTTGCCAAATTAAATACTTCAATTCTATAATTAAATTCTTTATTTAATGTACTCCCCAACAGCTGCTATAGCCAATTACAGGGCAACACAAACAAACAAACAAAATACAAAGACAACACAGAAAA